AACTATATCAAACACTTAGTAAAAATTTAGCGAAACTAAAGGTTTTACCGTTTTGCCAAATCCAAAATGAGTTTAGATAAGCAACCTTAGTCACAGCTTAATGATCAAAATGACTAAAACTTCAAAAATGATAATAATAATATTAACTAAGTTTATATAGTTATTTAAGTTTAATAAGTTTCTTTTATTTACTTAGTTAAATTAATTAAATTAGTTAATATAGTTAATGAAGTTTATAATATTTTTTAGTTTTTATAGTTTTACTTTATCTTTAATTAGTAATAGAAGTAGATTAAATATTTTATATAAATAGAATAGGAAATTGCTGTAATTAAGAGGCAGTTAAGTTTATAGTTAGTTAAGAAGTCAGTTAATAAATAATCAGTTTAAATTTAGTTTAATTTTAGTTAAGTTAATTAGAGAATTAATTGTGAAATTCATATTTTGATAAATTTGTGAATAAGGGTTTATTTAGTTTATTTAATTATATTAATCTACTTATATTTTATTAATAAACTAAACTTTATTCCTATAACAATGATCTTTTAAACTTGTGACCTAAAAATCTAATTTATCATTACTCTTTTATCATATTCAAAGTATTTATATGTATTTTCTATTTATATTTATATATCCTTAACATTTCCTGTACTTATTTATTAACATAAACAAGTTCTTAAGATTATTAAATTAAATTAGATATCTATAACCTTACTATATATGTTGAAGTTTATTTTTCAGTGGATAGACTTTGTAATTAACGTAATTAACTTATATAACAATAGAAATTGTCTTAAAGGAATAATATAATTGTCTTAAAAGAAATGATACAATTATCCTAAAAGGAGTGAACAATCATCCCTAAAGAAACAATAGAAATTATTTCAAAAAAAATGAATAATCAGCAAATAATTATTTTTAAAAGAATGATACAATTGTTTTTAAAAAGATAATATATTACCATTTTTTTAAAAAAATAATATTTTATTGTTTTCTTTCAAAAAGAATGATATTATTTTTTTTATTATTCAGAAATAATAATTTAATAATTAATTATAAGAAACAATCAAATTATTTTTCTAAAAGAATGATTTTGTAATTATTTTAATAGAATAATACAAAATCATTTGTTTAGAATGATTATAAAATTGTATAAATGATATATCTAAATTTCAGATTAATCAAAATTTTAATTCAGTTTTAAATATAAAATTAGATTATTTTGAAAAAAAAATTTTTTTTTTCTAGTAAAGTGATTTTTTAAGTGATTTTTTAATTATTTTCTTTATTTTTTATTTTATTTACTTTTTTTAGAAATACATTTAGTTATGTAAATCAAAGTGGTAATTTTTAACTATTTTTTTTAATTTTTTTTTTAATTTCTTTAGAAATAATACATTTAGATAAGTAAATCAGAAATGATTTTTAGTGATTTTCAACTGTTTCTTTATTTTTCTTATTTTAAAAAAATTAAATGTATCTTTTCTTATTAAAATATACATTATTATTGAGTAATTTATTATGTAATAATAAAATAAAATTATCACTTCAGTGCTTTTCCTTTCAAATTTAAAAGGAATTTTACTTACACTTTAAAGTTAATTTTAAAAATTAGTTATTAAACTAATAAAATTATTATAATAAAATTTATGATGTTTTTTAAGTAAAATCAAAAAAAAAATTATATTAATTAGTAATTTTTTGCATTAATTTAAGTTTAAAGTTTTAAAAATATTTTAATAAAAGTATTTTCTTTATAAAAGCTAAAATTTTAAATTTTTATTTATTTATATTTATAATATTAAAAAAACTTTACAAAATATATAAATTTATATTTAAAACATTTATTTATATATTTAAATATTATTTATTTATGTATATATTTAAAAAATTTGATTGAAAATCATGACTAAATTTGAATGAAAATCATTACCATTTAAGGCAGGGTTGTTGAAATGATCTCAAATGACCTTATAATTTGCCATCACTGATTTAAGGGACAAAAAATAAGTTGTTGACCAATTTTAAACTGATTTTCAATATTAAATAACTGATTTTTCATTTATTTAAAAAATGCTGATTTTTATGGCAATGATTAGCAGAAATTAGACTACTTTAAAAAAAATGATAGATTATTCTGATTAGTGTGGTATCAGATAATGGATTGAACACACCTCTGAATATACGTGAGAAGAGATACCTTCGATATCAGGTGGTATGAACATAGTAGCTAAAATAGAGTCTCCCATTCAGCTATTATATTTTATCAAAATATTCTACAATATTGCTTCCAGTCCCGATTGTTGCAGATTTCTTAATGTCGCCAATGATAACATATTCTATACTTGTCTTATTATTAATCACAATTATATAATTTGTAATCAAACTTTACCTCTTATAGAAGAGGATCCAAAAGATGTTTCATATCCTATTCCAAAGACTAAGAAAATTATTTTGAGGAGACTGATCATCTTAGAGATCATTATAAGGTTAGATCACATCAAAAGTATTTAAGGTTTTTTAGGATAATCCTATTAATTAACCAATATATTAGGGAATTAAAATCCGAAGATAAATTTTGTGCGAGCAGAACTGACCAAAAAAATTGCAATCGTTTTAAATGTTTTGATAATCATTCGAGAACTTCATGGTATCGCCAGTTATTTTTAAATTTTTATTATTATTAGAAATTATTGTACTTAAAAAATGGACAATTATAATATCTATAAAAAAAAAAAGAAATGTTTCATTGTTTATAATCAAGTTAACATTAAACTTATCAATTTAGATTTTATTAACCTTATACCTAAAAAAAAAAATAATGAATCAAGTCCAATAAATAAATCCTTAATCTTAAATATACACTTTATTTTTTTTTAAAAAAAAAACCCCCCACCATTGACTAACTTACCTATTATTAAAATTTAATTATTAGCCGTTCATTTATTCATCCAAACTTAAACTCTCCAAAAGATCTTTTGAAACTTAAATAAAATTTTGCAATTACATCAATTACATCAATCCAACCCTTTTCATTAAAACAATCCCTAATACTCCAATTGCAATAAGCACACTAAATATGCTGAAAAACCACACAACACTATCAACTTCTTGACCAGGTACATGAACATTCATTCCAAACAAACCTGAACAAATAAAATTAATTTTTTTAATAATAAATAAAATAAAAACAAAAAAGTACATCGAAATGAATTACCTGTAATAACATTCATCGGTAACAAAATGGTACCAAAAACAGTCATTCGATTTAAGACTTCATTAGTTTTATTACTCAATTGTGTAATTTCAATTGATATTTGAGCAAGATAATTGGAATGAGCACGTGACAACATTGTTTCAAAATGACTAAGGTTCTGTAACATAGTAATGATATGATCTAGAATAATACGAATGATTTTTAAAAATTTTCGATTGACAAAAAAGGAAATACTAGATGTTACTGTTATTTATTTACCTTGAATATCACCCAGGTAAAGACTCACGTCTCCAGGTCCATTTTTATCGCTATCATTAACCAATAATTTATCTTCACACCTTTTAATTAATCCTTTAATAACATCGACTTTGGTTCCCAACATCTTTGATAACATCGTAACCATTTTACGACATAATCCTATTCTCACCAACATGTCTTGCTGTTCTGAGTTTTTAAGCACCATGACAAGCTGATCAATTGCATCGGATTCAAATTCCACCTTATGAATTAAAGGTGCAAAATAATCCGTAATATCATCCATTATGGCATAATTTATCCAATCTAATAGAAATAAAAAAAAAAAGAAGGAAGATTTATTAATATAATATAAATAAAGATAATTAATACATTGCTCTAACCAACCAACCAGGCGTAACTGTGATAAAATCTTTCAAGTGTCGTATCCTATTCCTTACATTATGTTGGTGTGGTGTTGGTTGAAAATGAAACTTAAAAAAAGTAAAAATAAAAAATGAATTTATATTTATTGTTTCGTACAAATTATAAATTCCATTTTTTTCTTTAAAAAAAAAAATTACTAACTGATAAAATTCCTTCTCTCATGACAACATTATACATATTAACAGGCTCAACTTCAGCTGTGTTTAAATTATTATCATGAGATTTGAAGCTAACAAAATAATAATTTTTGAAAACTTCACATTTCTCTCGTGATTCCTCGGTTTCAATATCTTCCATTGTCAATGGATGAATATGGAAAATCTAATAATGATTTTGAAAATTATAAATAATATGATTCGAATTATCACTGCTTAAAAAAAAAATTTTTTGATAATGTCACACCGAGCTTAAAATTCTCATTTCCGAATCAGTTGGTGCAAGAACGTCAAGCCAAAAAATCCCTTGCTTTAATAACTCGGTCATTGTTTTACCCTCGGGTGGAATTTCTGCAAGTGATCTTGCTTTGATGGTACCTGATGCAACAGAATAAAAAACAAATCGATATTCCTCTTTTATTTCATTAGCATTCTGTTATTTATTTTTTTTAAAAAAAAAAAAATAACATGAGATTAATTAGAAAAATATAAATTTTCAATAAATTTCATTTAGATAATCACCTTAATTCTTTCACCAAATTCACTAATTCTTCTTAATGACAATTTTCTCGGTTCACAATCTACAGGCGATAAATGTTGATTCTCCTCATCTTTTTGAATTAAAAGCTTTCCTTCTGTAATATATTCTTCCAATGATTCGTAATCAAAACCATCACTTTTAGCAATTCTTAATGGATAGCAGACATCTTCTTCTGCATTAGAAAGTTTTCTAGTTAAATTATATGTAGTGGTATGATCCCCCCAGACTGAATCTTCGTCGTCTCCATTTGAATTGTTAGCAGCTATTTGAACTACAAAATCATGAAGTGACGTTGATAATCGAAGTTTTGGTTTATCATTTGAAGTTTCATCACTGTTGGTTGGAAAATCTGTAGTTGTATTCTCGACAATTTTTTCTTTTTCATTTTGCGATTCCTGTGAAAGTGACGACGCTGGTGGAATATTTTCTGAATTTTGTGTGGGAGGCGTACTATTATTATTTTTATTTTGATCAATTCCTGACATGATTTTTAATTTTAAAAGATTGTATTAATATTAATAAATAAAAAGGATAAAAAAACTTGAATCACCACAAATGATACAAGGAAGTAAAACCGAGAAAAAAAAAATCCGATTTGAATTTTATCAACTACATAAGTCGGGGTATCATTTAGACTTTATTGATGAGATTTTTAGATTTCTTGGCGCCCAAAAAAATACCGATATATATATTAAATAATTCAAAATTTCTTCATGTATGAAGTAGATCAATAGATACAAATAATCCAATTTTAATTTGCTAATAAAAACCTGTTACGAAAAATAAATTTTTTTAAGGGAGTATCGTAACACAAATGTCTTTTTACAGTTAAAACAAAAAATAATCAATTAATCTTCTTCCATTCTATCACCGCTATGGTCATCAGTATTATCATCGTCATTGTGATCTCTTTGTCGTCTACCCGCTTGCTCCTGAACAGCGCGAAGAAACGCCTCCACGCCTGAAAACAGTGTGAATTAAATATTACAAATAATGCAGATTAACAAAGATAAACAATAAAACCTTACCATTTCCAGCTGACGGATCTAAACCCAATTGAGTCAGCAAAGGTCCTAATTGGCCAGATTGTAAAGCCATGCTTAAAGATTGCAATGCCTGGCGCAATGATAAAATGAAGTTATTTATTTGAATAAGATTCAAAGTGACCCCATTTAAAGAAAATATACCTGAGCAAATTGTGGACTGTTAAGAACAGCATTTAATTCTTCAGGTGTTCTTTCAATATTGGATGGTAGATGAGGAAATAGAGCTAACATTTAATTAAAAATTAATACTTATTTCAAATTAATAAATAAAATCAATCATTAATCGATAAATACCCGACGATATTTCTGGATTATTTAATAAGGGTCCAATAGCGTTTGGTGATAGAACATCATTCAGATTTACGTCTACAAAAATAAATTAAAAAATGCATTTGATATAAAGAAAATATTTAAGGGAAATTATAATATATATATATATAATTTTTCTTTAACACTTACCATGCCTCGTTCCTCCCTCTAAATAAAATAAAAAAAATCAAAAAATTTTTTTAATTCAAACTTTTAACACGAGAAAATTTTTTTTAAAAAAAAAAAAAAATACGGGAAACATACCTGGATTCTGTATATTTGGTAAAACGTTTCTCAAGCCACCTAATTGTTCCAATTGTTCAGGAGTAAAACCAATGTTTTGTTCAGTTGTCTGTGCACCAGAACCAGCTTCTGATGTTGCAGCTGTAGCAGATTGTGGTTCGCTGGCGGGAGTAGTTGACGTGATGGGAAGCCCACTTAATTAAAGAGAGAATAATAACTCATGAATTATTATTAAATTATCTCATCATACAAGAATTTAAGAAATATTACTTACCCTATTCCGCCTTGAAGTAACTGCAACAACTGTTCTTGATCCACTCCAAACCCCAAATCATCCATATTTCGAAAAGGACTACCTAATTGACCTGCATTATTTTGTTGCCTGCTTTCCGCCAATCCACCTTGGGGATCATTAATTAATCGATTCAACTTTGCAACGTTTTCTTCATCCTTCTCATCTTTTGCATCTTGCATCCAATAAAATAATTTACGAGAAGATGATTTAAAATTAAGTATATATACACGACCAGTTGTACATTGATCTACTCGAATGAATTCAGCTTCATCAGGGAAGAGAATAAAATCCTAAAATTATTTTAACAAAGGATAATTTTTTTTTTTATTAAATAAAATAAATTAGTTAAAATTTTTTTTATTTGTGACAATCTATCTTACATCCTCCACGGTATTGTTTTTCCTATCTTTCCAGAAGAAATGCATCAATTGATCTTCACCCTGTCAGAAAATAAAGACTTGTTCAATTACGAAATCTTCATATAAAGTCAACAACAATTTACTCACCTGATCCATGTATATGAGTCTAATACACGTGAAAAAGATGAAATAACAAAGTAATTTATAATAAATTAATAAAGATTAACCCAAGAATATTGACACCATTTGAATTTTAGCATAATCACCCCTTTCTTTCGTCAGCCTTCAGCCAATTCGTGCCTTCCTCTCGTTTAAGTTTCCCGGCTTTAAATTCGACAGGATACTTTCTTCGAGGTACCGGAGTAGGAAACAAAGATGTGGCCATTATTGATTTCCTTAAAGAAAATGGGGGAATTTCAAATTAAAGAGCAAAATTTGATTGTTTCATGTGGCTTTTTTAAAAATGTACTTAGAGATCACGTGAAATGAATCTAACCAAAATCGGAATTTTATTTTAATTTAACAACATACGTGACACAAATGCAGAAATAATGTATATAATTTTAAAAAGTTGTTTTTTTCAAGAAAAATAAAAAAAATCATTATAATAATAAATGATACATAAAAATATGATTGTTGCAATACCATGATATCTGTATCTAAAAAAAAAAAAATTATTAAACTAATATTTTTTTTTTTCTTTTATTTTTTTATTCAAGTACACAAATAAAATAATGTTGGTACTCTATTATTTCTAGTGATCATCATACTCTGAAGAAAAAAAAATAAAATAATATATTTTTTTTTTTTTGACATACTTTTTTTTTTTTAAAAAAAAAAAAAAAAAAAAAGGAAAAAAGAAAAAAGAAATAAAAATAATATTTGAAATTGTTTTACGCACCATTTAAAATTTACATATCCCAATGATTTCAGCATTCAGCATAAAAAAAAATTGTTCTTGCTTGCAATTGATTAATTACCCATCTTGTAAATACAATAATAAATCAGCTATAATTTATAAAGATTATTAATTATTTTCGGCTCGATTCATGCACTCCAAAGATTTTAGCAGATATCAATTCTTCTATCCAATCAATATTTCCGCAACTGACGACACGTTGCATGTTCTCTGTGCTTTTAAGTTCTTCCCACCTTGTTGTCGCGAATCCCATAGCAGCAGATTTCAGACATGTGTCACCCATCTGCCATCCCAACAGCAGGATTTCATCCCAATTATCAACGTTCACATCTTCCGCGATTCGATTAGCAAGTAATTTCCCAAAGGTTTCTAAACCAAGCATATCTGCTTTCATATATGCAGATTTTAGAGTATCCAATTCCAGATTTTCTTCTAATTTTCCCGTATAAAGATAATACATCACACATCTAAAAATCTCATAATCAATTTCCTTGATTGGAATTATCTTATTGCGACCTTCGACCCATTGTCCGCTTAACAAAGATTCAAAATATTTCGACTGTGAAGCTAAAATTATACGATGTGCCCTAATCCTTGATCCACATGTAAAGGTAAATTCAACGTCACAAAATCGATCATCATCAAAATATCTAGGAATTTGAGTAGCTAAAGGGAATTCACCATGAGGCATATCTGTCGAAGCTGCTAACAATGCGGCATTTTCTTCATTTGTGATACGAACTCTAACTATCAGATCAAATTTGCTTGTTGGATCTGGGTAAACTTCTGACAATTTTAAAAATTGCCTTCGTCCAAACACCTGATCAGATCCAAAACCAAATCTTGTCTTTGAGAATTTTTCATTTTTCAGTAAAACTGGGGTTGGGGTGACCGAACCTAACGTAGAAGAACTACATATTGAAGATTCTAAACGGTATACTTCAAAGGCATACGTTCTTTCCCTTCCTGACGAATTTCCATCCCTCTCATGATCCGTTGGAATAGCCTTTAAAAATAATCCCAAATAATTTTTATCAGTTTGTGAAACTCCATTCGGATACATGCACATTCGCCATAAATAATCCGAAGAATCTAACCCAACACCTTTTTGTTGAGGATTATTCGGTTCAACAAAACTATCACTATAAAACCATCTTCCAGTCGGATATAGATCAGCTACTTCATGATAATCCCTAACCGTCCAAGTAAAAGTAAATTGGTCAGGTGTTGCCAACTTGTTATTCTGTTGAGGTTGTTCTGCCGCGTGCCGACTCTGCTGAAAAAGCCATTTCATACTCATGTCTTTATGTTTTTCAAGGTGATGTCGTAGGGGTGGAATTTTGGTAAGTTTTTTTTTTATATATATATATATTTCTTATTGGTAAAAAGAATAATTTGAAAAATTGTCACGAAAAACAGCTATAATAGTATAAATTATAATTAAGAATTATTTATCTCGTAACAAAAGTTAAAGACAAAACGAATAATAAATAAAACATTTTGACCGCAAAATGTTGGTTGATCTTTCTCGGAAAAAAAAAAGAACCTTTTTTTGCGAAAGAAATTATACAAGAAAGTACCTCCTTTAAAGCTTCCAAGAGAGTATGAAATAGAGAATTGCTTCGAAACCTTTATTAATATTAATTTTTATTTTTTACTTATTGCGCACAGGTAAAAAAAATTACGAGTGAATGTAAATTTGTTTCAACAAAAATTAAAAAAAAAAAATATAATCGAAATAGGAAAAATGCATTTACAGGTTTTTATATATTTTTTTTTTTTGTGAACCCTTATGGACTTACAAAATATGGTAACGACACACAACGCGCATTAAAAAAAAGTATCTTCGTTTTTTTATTCAAAATTTTTGAACCAACAAATTTTTATTATACTAATAGTGGATATGGATCAACAACTTACACCTTTATGATAAACTTGACGAAAAAAACGATAATCGCTTTTTAAAAAAGGATTTATTTGTCACGTGCTTAGATGTCATGATTTGATTCAGGAGTCCTTTCGTTGCATTTGACTAATTGTATTTGTAAACCGACAAAATTCTGTCATTTATTTTATTTCAAAAAAAAATTGTAATCAAATTGTAATCAACATAAAAATATAATTTTTTTTTTTTTAAAAAATGAGAATTTTTTCCGCTCGCTCAAATATAATTTTTTTAAAAGGAAAATTTTTCCAAAAATTGATGCTCGCAAATGTAAGCAAACATCTTATTAGGGGGTTGATAGGTTGTCGGCAGAAGTACTCTCGGATGGAACCTCATTAAGCACTTTGCTCCCCCCTCGATAAGGACTGAAGATCTATTTTATGGTAATTTGATGTTTATTTATATTCATTACATTCATAAACTTAGTTATGGGATTGAAATTTTATACGATGATCTCTGCGTCATCGAAAATGTCAGTTGACTTGGTCAGTTGATTCAAAAAATCGTTTTTGTTTGAAGACAGCGAATCCAAATACGTTTATGCATCTTTTCATATTTGGTATTATTGAATCTTCCGATTTTTTATGAGTCCGGCCATTTTGATCATTTAGCTAAATTTGTTAATAGATGAGCTAATGTTCGGTATTATCGGACTGTTATGTAAGTTAGGAAAGGAAGATTAGAAATTGAGAATAAAACTGATCAAAAATTGTTGAGAACTTGAGATTATGGGATAATTCAATTGTTTACTGCGGGAGGCGTAAGCGCGCTCGCAGGAGCTGTGACATCAAAAAAAAAATTTTTTTTTGTTCTTTTGTTTGCTTTTGCCAATAAAATACAATTGATGAGATTACATATGTTTGATCTTTTTTTGATGAATAAGAAGCATTATATTAGCAGAATTCTTTTGGTAAGAGGCATTTGTTTTTTTTAATACAATACGGACAATCATGTAAATTCGTTTAAATATCGCTCTTTTTTTTTTAATAAAAAAAAATCAAATAAGATAAAAAGGAATTGTTGTTATTATTATTATTATTTTTGGGAAAAGAATTCTCAATAGAGTAGAAATACAATACGATCGCAAGAATAAATTAACGCTTGGTTCAATCATGTTTGCAATAAATTTCTTACGTTTTGTAAAAAAGAAAAAGCAGAGATCAAATAAAAATAAAATTCAATCAACTTCTAAAAGTAAAGCCGATCAACCGCCGTTTTCAACCACTTTGGATTCATCACCTTTAGAATTAGATTTTAAAAAACAAACCCCAATCAATCTTTTTGCCGGCATAAAAAGAGAGAAGAATCCGTTCATTAAAACAAAGTCCATGAACTTATCTTTAAAGAATAATTCAAATGACGATGATGACCTTAAGAATTTCGTTAAAACTAGAGATCATTCGGAAACTTCTGCGATTAAAACAATTGAACCTTATCCAATGAATGAAACAAATAACCAAGGAAAAATTGACTTTTCATCTTTTAATTTCGACGTCAAAACTTATGAAAAACAATCAGATACTCCCATTCCTCTTCCCAAAACAGATAATCCAAATCCAATAACTGAAAAGTCCAATGAAAGTTCAAATCCACATTTAGAAATAAACCATGAATGGTATTCACGATTTGATACTGCTTGGTATTTTTCAACTACAAACGATAATGAGCCTGATAAAGTTTCTAAAAATAAAAATAATGAAGCTGAATCTGCAGCAAATCCAAAATCAAATGAAAAAAACAACTCGAATTTGAGAAAACAACCAAACAAGTCAAATCGATCAAAGCGTTTAAAAATATCTCAAAAAAACATGAGCTTCTTTGGAAGGTGTTTAATTTCAAATAGGAAATCTGAATGCGAAAGGCTCGTGGTTCGTGACGAATCGGATTATGAACACGATAATTACGAATTTCAAAGTAAACCTATTCGTAAAAAAGATAGAGAGAAGGAACCAACTCCTGATGAAAAACGTAATGAAAAAGATACATCAATCATTATTCGTAAGGGAACTCCCATCGCTATTCGTCCAAACATATCTTACGAAAGTCATCATTTGAATCCTAATAAATTCTGGACATGGAAAGGTTCTAATTCTTCATCTGAAAATTTAATTGAGACCATAAATTATGCAACATTTGATGATTTATATATAAGTCAAAAAGGTTATGAAGAGTCAATTAGAACAAAATTCATACAATGTATTTTACTACTTGCTTTATTATTTCAATCTATTATTTTTTTACGAAATGGTTTATATCTTCTTTCTATAGGAATTTTAATTGTAACTTGGATCACATTAACTTACTTTATAATGTGTAAATGTTTTGAAGTTAAAAAACACGTTTGGTAAAATGTTAAGATTATATTTTGCATAATTTTTTGTATTTTAGTTGGTATAACTTCATACTTTCGCGTAAAATTGTAATTTATTTGATAGAATTATTACACAGAGAAAATGAAAAAAATGCATCGCGTGTTTATATAAAAACTTGGTTCATTGATTTTTTGAGAATTATGATTGGTTGATTTTTTTTTTTATGTTAACCAAAAATCGATACAATATGAGTCATTTTATTCACAAGATAATTAATTTCATGAAATATTTTCGATTTCCACCCCGTTTTTGAAAAAAAAAATAAAAAAATAAATAAAATATAATTTTAAAACCAATTCGCGAAGAATTCAAATTAAGATAGTTATCCAATTATCTCATTATAAAGTTAAAAATGCATTCTTTCGCTTCGAACCGAATTTTTTCGTTGGTGCGTCCAGCGTCAACTCGATTATTATTACCACGCGCAGCAACAACTTTTCCTGCTAGTTTTCAACAAACACTGTATCATTCCACGTTAATTGGTAAAGCAAAGCAACATGCTGACATTGACGTAAGTCCTTTGTTTGCGCGCGGCATTATTGGACTGTTCTTACGAATTCTATCACAACAAAACTAAAGATATATTATTTTGAAACTATTCAAAAATACAAAATTAGTAAAAAAAAAAATAATATATATATATATATATATATAAAATTAAACAATAACTTATGCTTTTTAATTTGTAAATATAACCAAATATAAAAATCAATTTATTTGTTTTAAACAGCACAATAAAATTCGACTTCAACGTTCTGAAAACCTAAAACCTCTTTTACCTAATAAAGATCTCGTGTTTGGAAGATCGTTTACAGATCATATGTTAACAATCGAATGGAAAGGGGGACAAGGATGGTTGGATCCAATTATTCAACCTTACGGGAAAATTTCTCTAGAGCCTAGTGCTATGGTGTTTCATTATGCTTTCGAATGCTTTGAAGGGTTGAAAGCTTATAAAGATAGGAATGGGAAAATAAGGTTATTCAGACCAGACATGAATATGAAAAGATTTAAAAAATCAGCCGCAAGAATTACATTACCGGTGAGTTTATATCACGCTGACACTTTGATTAAAATCTTTGACGAAACTAATCGAAACCCGTAATCATATCATTCTAACATTTAGGATTTTAATGGAGACGAATTATTAGAGTGTTTGAAAAAACTTGTTCGTCTCGATGAACGTTGGATTCCTGCTGAAAGGGGATTTTCATTGTATATTCGTCCAACACTTATTGGAATTCAAACGACATTAGGGGTTGGAGCATGTGAACATGCTCTTCTTTTCATCATTTGTTCTCCTGTAGGCCCTTATTATAAGACAGGTTTCAGTGCTGTTAAGTTGTTAGCTACAACTGAAAATGTCAGAGCTTGGCATGGTGGTACCGGAAATGTAAAGATCGGTGGAAACTATGCACCTTGTGTAAAGCCTCAACTTGAAGCTGCCGAGAAAGGGTATCAGCAAAATTTGTGGTTATTTGGTACTGACGATGAAATCACTGAGGTTGGCACAATGAATTGTTTCGTCCATTTAATAAATGAACAGGGTGGTAAAGTATATATTTCTTTGTACACGTTGTTACTTTATTTCCTTGTAATGACCCTTTTTCTATTGTTACTACAGAAAAAGAACTCGTTACACCCCCATTAGATGGGACTATTCTTGCAGGGGTGACTCGTGATTCTATATTAAGCCTTGCGAGATCATGGAATGAATTTAAAGTTTCTGAACGTAAGATTACAATGCTTGAAGTTATAAAGGCTCAAGAAGAGGGTCGTTTATTAGAAATGTTTGGGGCAGGTACTGCGTGTATTGTAAGTCCAATAAAAGGGATTCATTATCGTGGACGCGATTTAAATGTTCCTTTAGATCCAAACGATCTTTCTAGAGCTGCAGGGCCTATCACTAAAAGATTTGCTGATATATTAATGGGCATACAGTATGGAGAAATTCCACACGAATGGTCTGTGGTCGTAACTTAAATTACTTTATATGTATGAGAAAATGAGTTGTAATGATCGAAACATACAATATGTTAGTTGATTTCTTTACCGTATTTATTAGGTCGTCGTGATTTGTTTAATAATGATTTATAATAAACACTTGTAATTTAGGATTTGAATTTATCGAACTTATATATTAATTATTTATGTTGAATAATATTATTTAATACAAGTATGGGTAAGACAAACACTTCTAAAGATAAACATACATAGAAAGTGGGAAGTCTTTATAGCTGCTCGTTTAATTATGAGTTGGAAAAGAATCTTGGTGATATCATGAAAATTACTTACAAAATTAATAATAAAATTAGCAACTTTATATTTTAATAGATGACACTTAACATAAGTTCATTTAAAAATAAATATCAAGTTTATACTTTATTTAAATTCAAAAATCGACTACAAATTTCAGAAAATCAAGCAAAATTCATATGGTTCATGAACTAGAAAATTCCATCTGAGATACTTGGTTAAAAAATTGTTTTATGATTTATAATAAACATCATGTATCACGCGCTACGTTGAAATCTTTTTTACCCTTGTAATAAAAACTTTAGTATTCAATATTTCATGGATTTTGAATTAGATATCTTCTTTAAATATCAACAATAATTTGCACAATTTATGTGAAAAGGCTCAATTCGAATAGGAGATTTTATTTACAAATAATTTTTACATATTTCTGTAAGCACTAATTAAGATAAGCTCATTAAGTACAATATTAAATTCAAATGTCCATCCGGAATGTTATTTGCGTCCCAATGAATAACGTATGAAGCGGAGTCGTAGATTTAGAGGATTCGTATTCGGAAGAGAAGGATTCTAACCCAATATTTCTAAACAAAATTAATTTTATATAGCGCTCTGTCAGTTTATTTCCGTTTAAATTAATGAGAAAATTCGGTAAAATTCTCAAAAATAGCTTACCAAGTTGGTCAAAATATAATTTCATTTTTTTCTTTTCATTATTTTCAGTAAATGAAATTGAATTCTACGAGACCAACTCGTCGAAATCCAAATCCATTATTTAACCTTTCAAGGTCCGAATCTCTATTATAAACCACCTGACAAGAATTTAGATTTATTAGTCAAATTATTCATAATTTTTCCAATAGAAAAATAGAAATTTTTATAATATAAATTAAACTTACTTTTATAAATAAGTCGTTTCCATTTCTTTCAGAATTATCTAGCTGATGTATTGCTTCGAGTACACATACATCAACTTTATTCAGAAGATTAAAGCTCTGCTGTATATCATCACAAATTGTAAGCCTTGGTTTTAGAAGCTGATGTAACATCTTTTTAGCAATCTGTGTTGAGTTATATTATGGTCGTTAGTATTATTATTTGATATTGTTATTCAACAGATTTAAAAATTTATTTAAATACCTTATTTATTTGGGAAGCTTGCTAATTCTTCTACTAGGTTGACTAAAATGAGGAACCTTTTATATTGAACAACGAATAAAAAAAAATACGCCTTTATCAAGTACAGTTAGTACCAAAATGATTAATTTACCAAATTTGTAAATTTTCCCATCACAGAAAATTAGTTAATATTATTCGCGCAATCGAAATCACGAACAAAAAAATTTACTTATTCATAAACGAGCTTTACCTGTAATTGCAGACGGGTGCATATTTTTTCACAGGCACAAACACACATATACAGAGGGTGGACAAAAGTATCCACACATTTTTTCAATCAATATAAAACTTCAAATATTTTTGCATTAACAATAAAAAGTCAATTAATATTTTATTTAAAGCCGATTAAGATCCAAACAATCGTATAATCACACCAATTTTGAGGCGACTGTATTCGAAAACACCATATGGATTGCCAGTAATCTTAGTTCCTCGTATTTAAAACGAAGTTTATTTTTTTAAAAATATCAACATAGTAAATTAGATGACAAACACTCCCATTTAATTAGAATATAATTTTATTAACAATGATAATGTTATTAATTTAAAATTTGAACAATTTTTTTTTTTATATGTAAAAAAAATTGGTTTAAAGCAAAATATTTTACTATTTATAATTTTATAATTTAATAATAAAGAATACATTCATTAGTATATACTATTTTATCCTTTTTTTAATAACATTTTTTTTTAAAAAAAAAAAATAATGATCAAATTTGAGGAAATGTCTAATTATCTTAATTATGATCGATAACGGTTTTGTTGTGCTCTTCCACGTACACTATTACCCAACACACTATTAAAATTATTTCGACCTCTTTGTTGCTGCCCATCTCTTTTTTGATACATGGTTCTTTTTTCAGTATTTTGCTGTTGATTTGCTTGACCTATAAGGATATATTTACCACGTTTAGTTTAATATATTCGATTTGCAAATAAAATATCAATTTTTTTATAAATACCTTTTTGCCTTTGCTGATCTCTTTGATTTTGTCCGGAAAGTTGTTTTTGCTCCAAAGTTCTCTCGTTAGCCTCAACAAATGAAAAGGCTTTTTCAGCAAACATTAAAGATAATTGTTGAACTTTGGTAGGTTCAACGCGATGTAATACAACAACATTATTAATTTGATCTAATGAAGCTGCTAATTCTTCATTCCAGATCATTTTTGAAACAATAGATGTAACTGTATTTAATGGTAACGAAAACATTGTGGACAATTGCTCAAGTCCAAATGTTGTATAATAAGAAGAATAAGTAAATAGATAAGTTCGAAGACCTTCTTCTTGAATTTTTCTATTTAACATATCCTTAATTTTCTGTGTTTCAGGCATCAAATCCCAAATTTTTATTGCGCTAATAAGTTCTTGACATTTTTGCCATTCACCGGCTGCAAGCGCTTTAGCCGCTCCCATAATGTGATCCCTTGTGTTTTCAGGTGGTCCTATGAAAAGTTTTTTTAATGATTAATATATGCTGTATAAATATTTGATTAACTTGGATACTCACCACTAAATACTTGTCTTTCATTATAATCCAACATCCTTCTAAATGGTTTACTAATTACTTTTTTACGAGCCTCAGGATTTGATCCAGCGGCTGCCATGGCAGGTATTTCCAATAACATAGAACAGGTTAAATAGGCACACTCAAGTAACTCTAAATTGATATGCATATGGAATGGCAATTGACGTTGACGATCCAACTTTTCTTGTTCTGGTGGAAGTTGAGAGTATTTTTGAATTTGTAAACCCTATAAAAAAACCATATAATTATAATCTAATATTTAGGTCCATTCAAAAAATTCGGATAAATTTTATAACACTTACTTGGGCCAATAATTCTTTCACACGTCCAGTTCCACATATTTCTTGTAAACAACTTTGAGCTTCTTTAATCATACCCTCACGAAAAGCACAAAGTCCAACTTGTACCATAGTGCGGTTATGTAGTATTTGGGTACCAACATCACTAAGTTGAATATTATCTTGCAAATGTGACATTAGAAGCATATCACGTGCGGTATAAAATCGATTGTGCAACGCATGATGGTAAATGTGACAAAGCATTGCACGTGTACGAAGTAAAGATTCTCCATTCTTATAAAGATAAACACAAAGAGCCCGAATAAGAACCAATGAATCTTGCGTTATTTCTGGTGGTGTTATCGAAGATATAAGACCCGAAGGGTATAATTGATTGACTGTATTTTCAACGGTCTGTATAACTTGATCGGGCTATAGTGATAATATTCTATAATCAGTTAAAATATAGAAAAGTAAATGACTAAAAGAATTCTTAAATGATCTTACTTTATAATATAAGTGTTCCAATCTTCTCATTACTACTCTACTTGTACTCTCATTCAGTTCGTTCTTCTCGAAATGAATTTGTCCTCTTAAGATTGATGCATATAATTCAGTTTCGTCTTTCAATCTATCCACATAATCAGTAGTATGTGGATCGATATTTTGTAAAGACTTTATGAATTCATCATCCAAACGATCAATGAAGGAAACAATAGAACCACGTATGGCAAATGTTTGACCTGGCTCTATAACCGGTTCCTTATCTTCGACCTCTTCTTCCACATATTCACGAATTATGAATTGAGTGTTCGTCTCCAAAATTGTTAATAGTTGGTTAATTTCCTCTTGTGTGCTTTTTAATTTAATAAACATGACGCAGAATAAGTTATTAGATAGAGTTAATATCTAGTCAAATTATTATATTTTGGATTTCTTACCTTTTCCACATATCAACATTCATATAATTGCTCATACTAGGATTATAATCAAATTGAGCAGGTATCAAAGCAAGAAGAACTCGAATTTTTTGATAAGGTGTTGCGGCCACACTTAAGAGTTTTTGGAGAATCTTTATTTGTTCCAAACGATCCGTATTCTTTTTTCCTCTTGCTTCCATAATTTCTCTTAATTTTTTGAATAAATTTTCAGAAGTATACTCAATAGGTTTATTTCCCTTTCCAACTTGTTCAAATCCTTCTTCATCATGAATTTCATTAGCATATAACTCGTTATTCTTTTTTGTCAATGACTTTTTGGTGGATTTAACGAATTCACCCAAATCATCTTCTTCATCTTCTTCATCTTCTGTAAGAACAGGGTTCTATTGGCGATATAAATTGTTAACAAATTCGTAGGAGTATAGAGTTGATAAAAATGACAGTTACCTGTCTCCATTTGTTAACTTCCTCTTCAAATTGACGAATAATTTTTTTAATTTTATTTTTCATGGAATTTAAAGCTTTAGCTTGAGCTGCATTCATTTTTTTCTTTGCTTCTTTTTCTTTTTGTAAAGATTCATTAAGAAAGTCTTCAAGGGAAGAAATTGTTTTAATATATATACGAGGAATTCCAAATGTTCCCAAAGGTTTACTAACAATTTTATTTAATTTTTCGAACTCTAATATAAATAATGACGATAAAAAAATATTATTAAATTTCATCTAAAGAAAAAGTGAAAGAAAGATTACAACTTTTTTTAAAAAGAAAATAACACTTACCATTTTGAATAGCAACCCATTCATTAATCTTTTTAGCATTTTCAATAGTTTTAACAGATAATCCAAGGGCATCTAATTTTTTATCTTTAGCAGATTTAACTTCCCTTTTCTCATCTGAATCAGATTCTTCGGAATCAGATACATCTTTAAGAAATCTACTTTTAGCAGCAGCGCCTGAAACAGGTTTTGCTGTTGTTTCATCTTCTGATATTTCTTCAGAAATTTCATCTTCTGTTGATTCTTCATTTGATGAAATAATTTCATCGTCAGTTTCCGATTCTGACCCACCACGGAAAAATCTCGACATTTTTTTTTGTTTTTATTAATATATATACTCGATTATATATATATACTCGAATAGAAAAGGCGGTTATTATTATTATTTTGTTTTTTGAATCACAGCTTTGTTTAAGAAAAAAAAATCGAATCGAATCAAATCAAATCAAATAAATAAGGACTTGAAAAGTACTTCGTCTGTAAGATCCGGGAAGATGAACTGATATAAACAGATCAATGAAAAAAAAAAAAACAATGAAAATTATTTAATAATTTTTTTTTTTTATAGTCCCCTCAAACTTAAAGTAATTTTCTTTTCTTTTGCTTTTAATCGCTTCTTTATTAAAAACATTTTCACCCATCAACAAGTAAAATTACAAACTTACCAAGAAATAAAGGTACTTCCCACTGCTAAAGCTAATCGAAAACTGCACCTTGAGGCTTTTCTTTTATTTTTAAAAAAAGGAATTCAAAAAATTTTTTAAAAAAAAAAAAAATATAGAATCATGTGATTACCATCTTGTATCACGGTATTATTGCTATAAAAAAAAATTTTTTTCATACAATTGTAATACATTTTCAAATCCTAATTATTTCAGAAATGGTATCAAAAGAACATTTGGAACAAACATTAAAAGAAAAACTTTCGGCGGAACATGTAGAAGTTATTGATACAACCCCTGGTGAGACATTAATAGATTTATTTCATGATTTGTTGTTATTAATAATTTTAAGTAATGTCTTCCTTTAAAGGCGGATGTGGACAAAGTTATGAAGTTATTATTATTTCTTCAGTGTTTGAAGGTAAAACTATTTTACAAAAACATCGATTGGTGAATGAAGCAATAAAGGACGAGATTGCACAATTACATGCTTTTTCACAGGTAAAAAGAATAAATCTTAAATTTATCTACCACAAAAAAAGACAAAAACTTATATATATATATATATTCTTTTTTTAAGAAAACTTACACACCAGCACAATGGGCAGAACAAAAAAATAAATAATGTTTTATATTTCTTGCACAATGATTATTTAAATTATTAATCTAAAAAGAATCATAAATTATCCAATAGTTAATTTTAATTTAACTTGATAAATTTACAAAACCCGGATATGGTTCAATGCTTTCTGATTTTTTCCAATTATATAAGGGACGTCCTGGAAGAGGTGGTAGTTTTTCGGAAGAATAAAACGTTGGTGCAGATGCAATTATTTCCGTTAATGATAAGTCTTCTGGAATATTTGCTACCTGAGTTGATCCTCCTTCTGCTGCGATACTATAAAAAAAAAGAAAAATTAGAAAACAATCTCAATATACGTTAATTACTTTTATAAAGTACAAACCTTTTTAAATTTGATACAGCAATAAGTTTTGCAACATCGTTTTGAGTATACACAGCTAAACGAGGAAAATTACGTCTCGCATCTCGATCATAATAATAATTTTGTGCCAAATCTGAATGCTTGGTTAGTGGCCGCTTATAAGTTTTTGGTTGTGATCTATAACGGTAATTTTAGCATTTTATATGTGCAATTTATGAAACATGAATATAAAAAATAAACTTACCCCGGAGCAGGTGTACGATAGGTTCCTGTAATGGGAACACCCGTATTCGATTCCGGATTCTTTCAAAATATCGGATTTTTGTTACTTTAAACCTTTGAAGAAAATAATTAGAAAATAATTAAAACTTACTAAAGTTAATAGTCTACGAATCTTTTCAAAAAATCTATTAGCTGATGGTCTTGTATACGACATTACGAAAAAAAAAAGATTTATTTCTAACACTGAAACTTTATTTTATATGATGAGCTCAAAACTTTTTGTGGAATAAATACTCATGATATATTTATCTATTTAAATAAGATCGTCAAACTACCAAAAAAAAAAAAAATCCTGATCAACTAAAAATTAACGCGACTTCTCAAATTCATTTTCTATTCTTTTTTTTTTTTTTTTTTACATATTAATATAATATAACTTGTAAAATGGAAGCCCCTTCGCCAAGAATTACCTCTGCACTTCTTACAAAGTATCGTGGACAAATCGTTCGTTGTGTCGGACGCGTTTTACAGGTAAAACTTTGACTAACAAGTTTATATTAATGGTTTTTCATTAATCGTTTAAAAATAATTTTTAAACTTAAAGACATCGAATATCGTTGCGACTTTGGAAGCCTGTGATCAAGGGCAAGTTACAGTTCATTTAGGACCGGTAAATTACAAAATAATTTTACTCGTTTTATCAAATTTTTATTAATTACATTAACTAACAATATTTTATCAAAGGATACCACCACATTAAAACCACTTAAATACGTTGAGGTTGTTGGACGTGTTTCTGATGATTTAACCATCAAAGAACATATGACTTATCAACTAAGTGATAACTTTGGTAATTATTTAATTTTAACTTCCTAATTATTATATATTTATCTATATCTATTTATGTTCTCATTTTCAGATCTCGAATTGTATAAATCTGCGGTTGAAAAGGCACAGAAATATCCTGATATCTTTTCTTGATTATTATTGATCTGAAAGATTTAAAAATAAACATACCCAAGCTTCCTCTTCCTTACTTCTCTCTTTAGAATAAAATCAAACCGATTATATTATACCGTGTCGAATTATTATTATTGTTCTCGTTAAGAACATTTTATCCACTAAATCACTACTAATGTCTCTATACCAAGCACATAACTTGTCAACTCTTTATAATACTTATTATTATAAGTCCATATTTTTTTTTTCCCAATACATTGTTTACTAAAAAGAGATGACATCCAATTAATTATTCACTTCTTCACTCGAGGGATTTGCAGGCCCACCATTCACCAATATTTGATTTATATGAGAAAACATATCATTATGCAAATGTACAAGCATGTCTTGAACTGGCATATTGTTCAAATCTTTAACATAAAATTTGCGTTTATAAAGTTAATAACACAAAAAATTCTAACGGGAATCAGCTTGCAAATTTGAACTTACCTTCTATTTTACTACAAGTTCCATGTTCTTTCTTAATCTTCTTTTCCCAAAATAGATGATTTGCTGGTAATAACACATTAGCATTCTAATGAAATATGATGTTAGATTATGTTCGAAATTATTATTTTTGAAACCAAAAAGGGCTGCTTAAACTCACACTTTGATACCAAGTGGAAAGGTCTGCTCTTTTAGATACAGATGGAACTTCGTTAGGTCCAGGTATCATGATTGTGCACACCACTTTTTCCATAATGCTGTAATCTAAGAAACAAAAATAAAATTAATTATAATCAGGTCGTTTCAAAGATTATAATGGTGAATAATACCTACCTCTCTCACTAATAAGTCCTGTTAAACTTCGACAACCACGACCAGCTCCTATCAAAACGACTTTTTTTGTATTTGACGCACTATGGATAATATATTTTTTTTACATTCGACTTTTTAATAATGACTTCTTAATCCTTACAATGTTTTAATACTTTACTTACTCTATAAGATTGTCCCATAAGAATATTAGTAATTCTCTCAAATCTTGATTTTCGTTTTTTGGTTGACTCTATTTAACGAACCAAAAAAAAAATTTTTTTTTTACAAAAAGTTATTTCTTTTTTTTAAAATTAAAAAAAGGAAGAAAAGAAAAGAATAGATATTTAAAAACTTACAATAATCGGAGGAATATCGACATCAATGATCCCGTGATTATTGTTTAATATTGTCTCAATATATAAATAAACCGTGTCTATCTATTAACACGATAAAATATTAATTTTGTCATCTCTCATGGTAATTCAACCTAAAAAACAAAATTCAATACCATGTATGAATTTGAAACATTGATTGAATTTGACGTGGCACGTGTATCAGCCCTGAAATCCGCCCTAAAAAGGTTTATGGAACAATTACTTAGAAATTCTGTAAATTAAAAATTATTAAACGTTATAACAACTTACATGTCGTGAACAAAAAAAAATACAACTTCTTTATGATACAGATCGCCACTACACGATTACACGATTATACAAAGAATTTATAGTTTCCCATAATCTATGTGTTCTTGAATTTTTTTTTTTCTTAACAATATTCACCTGCAACAAGCCAAATTTGTAAACCGCTGTCCTAATTTACCATCCGATAATGGTACTGGAATCAACTTGTATTTCGAATATAAATTTTTTGTCCTATACATTTTAAGCATCTCTATGTCGAACATTAAAAAGAGTTCACTTTAATAATCAAAAAATGAATAAATAAATAAATATTTCTATTGATTATTATATTACCTGCCATGTCAACAAGTAGTTGCCCAGGTAACCGATCTAAATATATTTGATATCATTTTAATAAAAATTTCGAAAATTATTCGAATGATTAATGGTAAAGTATTACCTTCAGTAGCATAATATACCGGAGCAAGACAATTCCAATATTTCGATTGTGTACGAATAACTTGATGAATTGTCTCCATACAATCTTGACTGGGAATTATTGGGCCTAATTTGCATGGCGGCTCCCCGAGTAAAACTTTGACACAAGCGAGTGCAGATTTTGATATAGAATCAAGATTGTAGCCGCCCTAATTATTTTAAAATATCGCGTAAAAGATTAATTTTCACGTTAAAAAAATTTGCATTGTATCTATGTTTCAATTACCTCCAAGGCCAAGATAAGTTTGCCGTTAGCCAAATTCTTCAACATATGAGTCATGTGCCCGAATCCATTTGGTGACACATGATTTTCACCAATAGGATCGCCTAGATTAAATATATTTAATCTTTTAAATTATGAAACCTTTTATAACGACATTCATTAAATTATTACCTTCGGCAGCATCAAAACCTGCTGATACAATTACAATATCTGGTGAAAATTCGTAAGCTATAGGCATCACCACTTTGTTAAACGCGAAAATATAATCACTATCTGTCATTCCCGCGCGTGGCCATGGTATATTTATCGTTCTTTGGAAGAAGGTATTGAATAAATAGGAAAAAAAATTTTTATATTTTTTTAATCTTTGCAGAAAAGAAAGAACTAATGAAATAAGTATTCTTGGAAGAATTACTGACTTGCCTTTGGCCTCACCTCCACCTATGGCTGTATAATTAGCTAATGCTCTATCCCCAGGATAAAAGTCTCCGTTCTCATATCGATGTATCGAACAGTATACCACATTAGGATCATTATAGAAAACTTTTTGCGTACCATTTCCTACAAGTCAAAAGAATCGAAATGTAAAAAGATATTTTGTATTTTCGATAAAATATAATTATTGAAATCATACCGTGATGAATATCCCTTGATAATCCAATTAGGTTTACCAAATATAGAAAGAAATGATTTAATAAATCTAAATCAAAATTATAGTCATGATTACTGAAATCATTACCTTACCAATCAAGAATGAAAACTTTGTCTATATTATAATGTTTTCTCAAACATTGAACCGCAACCGCTACATTATTAAAAAAGCAGAATCCCATTGGTTCATTTATTTCCGCATGATGACCTGGAGGACGAACGTTTGCAAACCCGTTTGTAACAGTTCCATCAATAACTGCTTTGCATAGTTCAATTACACCACCGCATGACAATCTTGCACAAAATGCTGTCTCGTTGTTAAGATAAATAGAATTATGTTCATCTGCCATCTTTATTAATTCGCTATCACTCATTTCTACGTTTAATAAAAGTTATTTGAAAGTTTATAAATAATATCAAAATTATTGATAATGGTACTAATAATGAATATGGTTTAAAAGACCCGTAAATATTAAGTTTTATAAATAAAAGTCTTACGTGCTGTCTTTGCAACAAAGTCCCAGTGGTCTTCTGTGTGTACAAGGCAGGCTTCCTCGCGCAAAACTTCACGAGCTTTTATCAAAACCATTTTATTTAAACAGCCAGTATTTTTAATTTTTTCTTGAATAACGGTAATCCTCTTTGGATCTTCTGGGTGGTGCTCGTCTTCATGAATATTTCCGTGATACCGCATCCGTTTATCATAAACTATCCCTGTTTTGGGCTCAAAAAAATTGTCCAAAACGGAGTTTATAGAGTCTCCGTTTGTATAGTTTTCTTTGTTTCGTGACCCTTTCGTGATTGGTAGTTTACGAGGCTCTATAAGTACATATGGTTTCCCGTCTGTTCCATCGATTTCCATATCCATATTTTTATTTTATTTCAGTCTTTAGCGTTTTAAAAGGTAAAACAGAAATAATAATAATAATAAATTGAAAAAAGGTAATAGGATTAAAAAAAAAATTATAATAAAGTATCAGACTTGACCCTTTTTAAGCTTTGATAACACACAAAAAGGATTGTGTAACCATAAAATTACCTTTTTTAGTAATTCTTAGCTAAAGAAAATAGAGAAGAATTATTATAACAAAAAAATATTGAAATAGTTATTAAAATGTCCTTATAATATTATGTTAAATTTAATTTATTAAGTTTTTTAAAATAAAAAATATATTTTTATTATTATAATTTTTTAATTATTAAAAAATATTTATTAAAAAAAACTATATGGGAGGTTTGCTAGGAAAATGGGGCTCTGAGAAATTTTTATTAAAATTTTAATTTTTATTGCATTTTAATCTAACATTATCAAAAATTAAAATGCA